AACTTAAAAATTCTGAAGTTGATGATTTAGATGATCTTGTTAATGTTATAAAATCATCAACAAATGGATACAATAATCCGCAGTTAATTTAATGATCGGCATGTTTTTGCAGTGTTATCGCAATTGACATTGATTCAAATATTTACGATTTTGTTTTTTGTACGACTCAGTTGATTTTCTCCACAAGTTCACTATTGTCGCTAATATCATTATTATAAAGATGTTATCTTTCTTTACGCATTTATGCATATTTATATTTTATAAAATTAATATAAATATGAGTCCAAACTTGGATTGAATAATTAATTATTGTCAATTATTTTTTGTTAGTATTTTATATTTTTTATTTATTTTATTTTTATTAATTATTTGATTGGCTAATAATTTTTTTTGCTAATTATTTTAAGATAACGCGGCTTTATGCGACTTTTTAAATTTTTCAAAAAAAAAAAAAAATACGATCGCGACAATAATTACAATTGTAACATCAGTAACAAACTCCAAGCCAATCCTTTTTAGCTATTATATAACAAAAAAACTTTTACTTTTAACTATACCACTACCATATCCAATGGCGGCAACTTTGGGTTATTCAAATCGAGTTTGCGTGTCCTCTAAATGCAGAAAGGTTGAATGTGATAGATTGGTGCCATCTTGCACAGCTTGTGCCAAATCAAAACATAACTGCCAATACACTTCTTGTTCTCCTTCACAATCTTTGATTTATGATGTGGATAAATTTATTAATACAAGCATCGATTGTAACGGCAACGGCAATAATGATAGTATTAATAATAACGAACACTTTTTAAATGATAAATTACGATCGGAACAACCTCATCAAAGAATTTCTAATGAATTTCATCCTTGTTACTCTAATACTACAAAGGTATTAATGCAGATATTTGGTTTCATGTAATCAATGTTCTCATTTTCATTTATTGATTTTCTATATGTAATAATATTCATTTAGAACGTTGAATTCTCTGGACCAATATGGTTACCAGATGCATTTGGATTCAATTCTCAAAAACAAAATGACGATAATTTAGAGGACATTCATAACAATAATAACAATACCAGTAATCCAATTTACAATCAAACGTCGGATAATAATAATTGTTGCTTTGATTCACCACAACAAACATTACAACAACCTCAATTATTACAATTACCTCTTAAAATCAATACTTCTGTGACATCTCCTGAAATTCAGATTACCCCTGATCATGGCAACGACTGTGACAATAACATTCCTTTATATCAATCCAATTATTATTTGCAACCAACTCCCAATATAATAAATAAAAATTCAACTCTTTCCACTATTGCAAAGTTACCTAGTGGCAAAACCATTAATATTTATGTACCTGAACTTGAAAAGGTACAAAGACTTCTTGAAAACAACACAAATCCAGATTTACCACCTGCCCAACTACTTTTCTATCTTACCTTATTAAACGAACTCGCACAACAAACTCCTGATTTTAATATTAATAATGCGGAATTCGCAAAAGTTTTTACTAATGTTTGGAGGGATTCCAGCCTTGAATACACAAACGAATTTATTATTTTGGCAGACAAATATGGACTCAATTAAATATCCAACTCGAAAGTTGGATATCGGTAAACATTTATAATTTTTTTTTGGCAAATCGTTTACATTTTATTTTTTATTTTTTTGATATTAGAATCGTAAATTCGCAAACAAACAACAAACAATCGTTAAATTTAATTATTTTAATTATGACCAAGATTTTAATTTTATTACTTAAGACTATTTTTTTTTTGGCGGTTTTAATTATTAGTGCTTCTTCATATATTATATTTTAATAATCTTGTTATGGAAAACAATGCTGTATTTTGCAAATACTGTATTAATAAAATTATGTTTAAAAATACTATTTTTGAAAAAAATACAAATTCAAGCATAATAAGTCAATAACATCAATCATATCTACTATTTCTATATACCAGATATTGATGGTGGCGGTGGCATTAGAAGTGGTGATGGAAGAAGTGAATAAATAATAATAATACCGCCCCTATTATTACTAATAGTAGTAACGTGAACTGGTAATAGCAATAAAAAAAAGTATAGATAAAGAACATAAAGCAACTATAGGAATAGGGATCGTTAGTTGTATCATTCGATAATCTTATTAATAACGCAAGGATAAAATTTT